AGTCTGTTCACTAACTATCGTGGCCTGTTGTGTGCAAGGGACGCCAATCCATCAACCACTTGAGTAAGGGATACCACCCGTTCCATCACTTGAGCAGGGGGGCGCCCTTCGCTCTCAACCACGCTGTCAGGGGCTGCCTCTGCAGTCTTGGGAATGAGCAATGTTTAACAATTCGTCCATAGGATCGGATATCAGATCGTGGACCCTTAGGCCACCGGATCAGGTCTGAGAGGAGAAGTTTCTCGAGAAGGTACGCTTGTAGGATGGAATGCAATAGGCCTATTTATAAGAAGTCAGTCAGCTAACGTGGGCCTTGCGGCGCGGGTCAGGGTCACCGACCTTATCATCCTCTCGAACTGCTGCTTTATTTTTGTAGAAACTTTGCAGTCTCCTTGACCCGACCATGGATTCGATTGTAGATTCCTTAAAGTTGCTCGGAAATTTGCAGTTCTGGGAATGAGCAATGTTTAACAATTCGTCCATAACATTGGATATCAGATCATGGACACCCCCCCTCCCCCCTCCCGGGAAACCGGATCAGGTTCGAGAGGAGAGGAGGCTTCTCGAACAGTATGCTTGTAGGTTGGGACGCAATAGGCCTGGTCATAACAAGTCAGCCAACGTGATTCTTATTGCGATGTAGATCCAGGGGCCACTGACCCCATCATCCTTTCCAATTGCTGCCGCTTAGATGCCCTTCGCTCTCAACCACTTGACCCGACCACGGGTTCGATTGTAGATTCCTGTTGCTCGGAAATTTGCAGTTCTGGGAATGAGCAATGTTTAACAATTCGTCCATAATGTCGGATATCAGATCATGGACACCAGGCAGCCGGATGAGGTCCGAAAAGAGAGGCTTCTCGAACAGTACGCTCGTAGGATGGAACGCAATAGGCCTGGTGATCATAATAAGTCAGTTAGCTAACGTGATTCTTGCGACGCGGATCCAGGGGGTTTACTGACCCTCTCATCCTTTCGGATTGCTGCTGCTTTATATTTGTAGACACTTTGCAGTCTACAAACGTAGACCGCCAATTCTGAGGCGAGCTAAAGTAACGTTTGGCCGTTGCAACGCGCACCCGCCAGTGGTCAAGGTCATGGCTAGAGCCTCTGACATATCTCTTTGAATCGACTCGGGGATTGCGGCATTCTTACTTGCCGGGCGAACCCGGATTTCTGTCGAGCCGGTGTGTTCAACACTCGCTTGACCCAAGTTGGGTCAACGGGGAGGTTGGCGCCAGAAACCAGAGGAAGACACCATTTGTAGGGAACCGTTCCCCTTGGTGGATAGAACAATGTAGATAAGGGAAGTCGGCAAAATAGATCCGTAACTTCGGGGGGGGGGCAAAAGGTTTGAATCAACTCGGGAATTGCGGCATTCTTTGCCTGCCGGGGGGCCGGTGTGTTCAAACTTGCTTGACCCCAGTTGGATTAAATTGGCGCCAGAAACCAGATACAAGACAACATTTGTAGGGAAGCGTTCCTCAAGTTGTTGCTCCACTCCAGGGTGGTGTGAGAGCTTGGCCAGACGGTATTTCCGAGCATGTGTCCTTGAACTTGGTGTCCTCCCGCTCTGATGCGTCGACGAAGTTCCTTGTTGGCAACTATGGCGACAGCACGCCTGACGGTGTGGAAAGGAGAACGCTCCTAATCATGTACTCCCATGTACGAGAGAGGAAAGAAAAGGAAAAGGGAAATAAGGAAATAGAGACTGCGCCACGACCGTGTCCGAGGAAAGAAAGGAAGAAGTAAACAGAGACGGTCGGTGCAGCGACGGCCGCATCCGAGGAAAGAAAACAAACAAGGAAATAGAGAGGCACGGCGACCGCGTCCGGCACGCCCCTTCAGGTACTGCCTGCCTGCCAATCAACCCAATTCCACCAGGGCCGGGTGTTTATCGGTTCGGCCGCAATCAATGGAAGCTAGAGATGGAAGGAGAGGTAGGGAGGGGCTCAATGTCACCGTCACATCTCATTCATTTCTTACCTCGTATTGAAATATAACCCAACCCGTACCTACCTTGTCATCTGCCCGTCACGGTCATTTCGAGGGACTAAAAGTGCTGCCGCCAGTTCACCCGGTCTGGGTCAGATCTGGACGGATTTGGATATTTCGTGCTCACGGCCGTGAAATTTGTATTTGCGGTGTTAACAAGAATGTAACTATGTTGAGGGGTTATGACCGATTGGATTATGTCTGCGAGATTGTAGAAGTCGGGAAGGGCTTTGATGTAAACGATGATTGGGGAGTAGAACCGTAGGTTTCAGCCCAGTAGGGACAGCCGTCTAGCAACAACTAATTCACAGCAGTGAAATTGGTCGGTATGACTTGGGCTGCGTATAGTCCTCCTTGCCCGATTTCCTCAGCAGTAGGATGCGGGCCACCCCTAAACGGTAGGGGCACGTAGCTCAGCCGGAGTGAAGTATTGAAAATTGCCACTATCCATGAGGTCTAGAACGGGCCATAATTCTTTTGTTGGGACGAATGATTGGTGTTGCCGGAAAGAAAGTCCTCCATTGACCAAGCGTTGTCATCCTTCTGGGGTCAAGCAGGAAAAGAAGCAAGTGGGAAAAGAGACCGTGACCAATATCCTAAAGTCGGACGGGGAAGTTGTGGGCGTGCAGGTCTCTCGCGATGGCAAGCCAGCGAAAGTCTCTCCCTTCTCCTGATCTTCATGGATCTCCGCGGACCGTCCAAGAAGGGTATGTTGTCACACGCCGGTGCATCCGAGGCGAGGTAGGGGGCTGCTTTCCATACCCTGTCGGTGTCTTCCAGAAAGTGCACCAATATCGTCTCTTCTTTTCTCTCACCCCTGACCGAAAGTTCTGCAGAGTAGCTTTCGTGCGGGATTCCCGGCTGGTGGACTCCATTTCTACAGTCGTTTGGAAGAATGATGTGGCATCATTCGCAATCTATCACTGGGCAGTCTCTGGCGAATGACTGAGCTACGAGCGGTCATGTGCCGTTCCGGTGCGCCGCCACTGTTGACGTGCCGCCTGATCGTTACCTGCACAAAAGCGCCTGGGGTGGGAAGTACATACAGTAGTTGAAGCTTAGGTAGACCGCTTTTTGTCACGCACGTAGTAGCTGTGCAGTCCATATTTGTTGTATGGATCGTGCGCAACTGCTTTTGACGGCCAACTTCAAAATCGCAGGCTTATCATGCTTCTCGAGTTGGCTTCCCGTTGAACCGCTTACAGCCATGTGTGCAGGAAAGGCGATACTGTAGCCATCGTAGAACGGGCTGAGTCCTTCATCTGCAGCCAGGGTAAGCAGACGCGTCAGTCCACACTGGCGACCAAGGATTTGAAAAAGTGCGCCAAAAAATCATTCTTCGTCGTATGGCCATTAGGAGGGCGCTGTTGTCTTTGGGTGAAAGAGAAAAACTGGCGTATCGGATTTCAAGCTGATCGTAAAAACTCTGTGCGCTGTACTCTAAGTCCTGCTTTCCACCCCTGCTGGTTTCTCTTAAGAGTGCTTAGCTTCGTCCTGCAGCAGATTTCTTGAGACTCACCGCACTTTCTGCGCAGCCTAAAACGTCAAAGTGCAGTGTCTCCACTTCCGGCGCTCGCAGCCTCACCGGTTAGCACTCATTAAAGGAGGCCTGGTATTGCACAGCCCACTGTTCATAAAGCCTGAAGCAGGTCAGTTTCGCAAACTCAATTTCTCGCAAAATGCAAGTGCCTAAGACGTTGGCCTCATTGTTTAAGTTTGTTCATTTGGGCACCTCACAAGACGAGAAGATGTTCTCTGTTCACCCCGCAATACGGACACTGCAAGACGCTCATATCCCTCCGAAGTCTGACTATCATCAATTTCGAGCTATCCTCTACGAGGTCACGAGGGAATGCTTGAAAGAAATGGCCAAGGATGAGGTGGACCTGGCAGAACTGAATAATGTTGGAGTTTTCCACAAGTTCAATGAGAAAGCTGGGAACATATACCAAGATTTCGGAGCCGAGAAGTCTATGCCAGACGACTGGATCTACAGAGGATCCTTTCCTGGGATCTGGTGCGCCTTGAAGAGTCCGGAGAATACCTACACGATGGCTCTAGTGGGCACGAAGATCGGACAATTCAAATTCAACACAGGTTTCAAAATCTACGATCCTCGATCCACAGCACACATGGAGAAGTGGGAAATCTGGAAAAGTCGTGTGGAAAACTCCGCAAAGTACAACCCCTGGGATGACGACAAGAACACCGATGGCTCAACAATGTCGTCTCGGGTGGACTTATATCTCGCAGACGCGAATGATTTCAACTTCTATCTGGAAAACGGCTATGGTGCTGTAGTTGGCTACAGTGACTATATGGCTCTGGTCATCGTCGACAAAAACCTGGTCTCAGATTTGCTTGATGCCGGGACTGTGGGAATGCAGAAACCCTGGATATCGTGGTTGATGAAATCAAAGAGTTCCAGTAATGATGCCCAATTCACAAATTCATCTGAAACATGACAGGCATAACGAGACAGTATCTATGGGCGGTCCGCGCAGATAGGAGATAGTCATAGGATGCGGCTCCACAGCAAACCCTGACTTTCGTGGATATCAAGTCCATTTTCGTTTTCCGTCGCTGCACCCGTATGGTCATTTCCCGGAAACAAGCGAGAGTCAGCGCTACATCCTCTTCTGTATCTTCCGTAATTGGCTTCCCATTGAGAGTCACCTTCCATCTGATGGTAACTCGGAGGCAGGAGGGAGGGTCATCATCATATGTTTTGGTCTGATCCCATTCGGACAACTGCACCAGAGCCAGCTTCTCTAGTGTCCGTGACGGCAGTTGGACGAGCTCACCGCATAGATCGGAGCCAGCGATTCGCGATGACGCTCTGAGGACAAGCCAGTAACGCTTAGACTTATTCAGACTAGTTTAAAGGAAGCAGGAGGGGCTTTAATAATTGAGTGTGTCTGGAAAGGTGAAGCCGCAATTGCAAACGACTGTACGCTCATGGGTGCTTCGGTCTCGACTGCTGGTGTATTCGTCCCTGAGTGTGGTCAACTCGTCGTCACCACGCCTTGGTATAGCGTCACCAGCATGGGGTTGGTCAATGCCTGCTTTACTTGCTGGATGATGGTTTGGGCTCCACGTTCCAGTCCTGCGGTCGAGGCGATCAGAGGTATGTGCTGCTGCTTTGTGGAGAATTCTCGTCGCACTACAGCCCAGTCGGTCTTTCGAAAGGTCTGCCTGGGTCGTGGTTTGTCACGGATGTGTCGCTGGCGTGTCACTGTGCAGCCGGCCAACCAGCCACAGCCTGGCAGGGAGTCACCTGTGAGTCATATTGAGTCTCTTGTGAGTCATATTGAGTCTCTTGTGAGTCATATTGAGTCTCTTGTGAGTCATATTTTGGACCCGTTGCTGACCGGTTGGTCCTAGTCACCGGATCGCTTGGGGATGGGTTTTGAGATGTCATGTTCATGCTGATCTTGCGAGAGCTGTGACTCATACCTGCGGACTACCTGCGGGCTTCATTGGTCCTGTCGTATACCTGTTCGACCACAGTACTTTCGTGTCTTGGGAGAGCTCTGACTCATACTTTCGTAGGATACTAACGTTCCTCCATTGGTCCTGTCGTATAATGATTTGACTGCGGTACTTTTGTGGGACACGAACATCCCTTGTCTTGCGAGAGCTGTGACTCATACCTGCGGACTTCACTTCATTGGTCCTATCGTATAATTGTTTGACCACGGTACTTTTGTAGGACACGGACTTTCGTGGAACATGGCACTTTAGTGTGACATGAACGTTCCTTCATTGGTCCTGTCGTATAACTATTCGACTGCGGGTACTTTTGTAGGACACGGCACTTTAGTATGATCACGGCGCTTTGATTCGATCACGGCACCTTGGCTTGACCGCAGCACTTTGGTCCGGCAGGGTACCCTGGTTTGACCACGACACTTTGCTTCGATCACGGGCACTTTAGTTCGACCACCCCGCTTTGGTGTGACACGACTGTTCATTCATTGGTCCCATCGTATAAACTGTTCGACCACCGTACTTTTGTTGGGCACGGCACTTTCGTAGGACACGTTCCTTCATTGGTTCTGTCGTATAATTGTTTCGACAGCAGTACTTTTGTCGGACACGAATGTTCCTCCATTGGTCCTGTCGTATAACTGTTCGACCATGGGACTTTTGCGGCACTTTCTTGGGCCACGCACGTCCCTTCATTGGTCCTGTCGTATAACTAACTGTTCGACCACAGTACTTTCGTGGGCCACGAATGTCCCTTCATTGGTCCTGTCGTATAATTGTTCAACCAAGGGACTTTTGTAGGACACAGCACTTTGGTTCGATCACGGCACCTTGATTCGACAGGTCACTTTAGTTTGACCTTGGCACTTTGGTTCTGCACGGCACTTTGGTTCGACCACTCCACTTTGATGGGACACGAACGTTCCTCCAAGTCTAGATCGTGAAAACGTAAGGGGGAGGGAGTTTTGGCTTTCCCACATCAGTGCGTTGGCAATCGCCCGATTTTGCTGACACTGAGGCTCGCCTCGCTCGATGGCCGATCTAGACTGGACCAAGGACCGAGTAAAAGGGGTTGGATGTCGTCATGACTCTGTACGAGGTAGGTCATATGTGCGTTGGAGATGGTCCGTATGACACGGTGACCTGAACCACGGTCCACCTTGTGGATGTCGCATTTGAGGACTGTGCCAATCAGCTCATTGGGTATCAACGCAAGGAGGTAGATGGTAGTTTCATGACCGCATGACTGTCGGGCTCGAACGTTCTAGTTCCTCGGGGCAGGAGGTTCTGGACTTCAGCCTCACCTCACTGTCCCCACCTATCTTTCACTGTGAGTCATGTCCAACACCAGTTTTCGTTTCTGCCTGCGCCCGGTGGAGTCGGGTGGCGAGTCGGGTGACCAGCTTCTGCGAGCCTGGATCAGTCGTGCTGACCGGTTTTGCCCCGTGAGAATAAGCCTGTAGCTGCTTTACTGTCTCGGCGACGTTCAAAGAGCCCGTCTCAAGACGCAAACACACGCTTGTTGCTGGAATTAGATCCTGGTGCGACAAGGACCTCCAGGTGGCAACCACAGGGGGGTAGACTCATAGAAGGGAGGTGGTCAGTTGTCAACCTTGCACCTTGTGACGCCTGGAACTTTTGTGGCCTTTGTCGGTCCGCTTCCTGAAGCAGGAAGGGCACCCAACCGATGCATGGAAGTTGGAAGCTGACTTTACACCGGTGTGTATTGTTGCATGTGGAATTTACCACCTCGCTTCCCCTTGATGGCGTTATTGGACGCCCAATGTGCATGGAAGTTGGAAGCTGACTTTACACCGGTGTGTATTGTTGCATGTGGAATTTGCCACCTCGCTTCCCCTTGATGGCGTTATTGGACACCCTAGGAAGCATGAAGGGAATCCACCCAACGTGCATGGAAGTCAGAAGCTCACTTTACACCTGTATGTATTGCAAACCTCGACACTGCAGGTATGAGCACGTTGACGGGAGTCAGGACTGTCAATGAGCACTTGTGCCACCCCCCAACACCCTGCGTCCATGATGCATGGACCGAGCAGATAGCGCAGTGGCTTCGGTGGCGGCAAGGGTGAGAAGGCTGTTCCAGTCACAGGGTCAACGCCATTTGGAAATGATGCGGACTGCTCCTCTGGGCTCGCTATGGCTGGCGTGTTGCATGATGTGAATTTACTACGGCCTCGGTCGCGCCGTGTACTTTGTGACCTCCCATCCATGCCGCCTGTAGGTCGAGAATTCCAGATAGACGGATAACTCGGTCCGCCGAGCTCCCTAGGCAACACATTCGCTCGCCTGATCAATCGGACACTCAAGATACGATATCGCTGAGGCGAGTCTGCAATAGAAAACTTTTCCAGGGGAGGATCGGTGTTCCTTGGCCTTGTAGACCAGACGAAGCCACACCATCCCCGCCCCATTCGCGGTGTAGCCCTCCTCGAAGCACTGTAAGAGGGGGTCTGGAAATAGCGGCCGGAGGTGGTCGAAGTCCATCAGAGCCCCTAAGCTGATGATTCTCGTCACCTTGCTCGTCTCGCAGCTTTGGTGGAAAAGCATCGTCCAGCAGCCACGACATGCCTGGTCGTGGCGGTTGAAGTCGCCACCCATAAACAACTGTATCTCCTTAGCTTCTTGAGTCTGGGCCCGAAGTCCACCAGGACCACGTACGCCTGGGCCGTGGCACCCAGGAGGGGTCAGAATTATGTCCCCGCTACTAGGGTATTCTGCCTGGATTTCCTGCCTCACTGGGGACGGAATTCTGACGGGGCCTGGGTGCGTGGGACTGGTAGACGTCCCTCTGCGTAGATGGACTTGTGATAGGGCTATCAGAAATTGACCGGTGTTCGAAGTCCGTCCTCGCTGACGGGACAAGGTCGAGACAGGACAATGTTGCAGTTCAAACCGGCTCTCTGCCCTAGTTCTAAAACCATTGGTATTACATGGTAGATAAATCGACAGTGGGGACCACTCGGAGCAATGGTCTCAAGAGCACAATGACACCACCATCAGCTCCAATGAGTCGAACTTCCAAATGCCGGCCACAATGTCCAAACACGGTACTTTTCACTTATCGAACCCGACTTGTCTTGTTGACGTGTGTAGATCATTGAGCAGACAGATCGGATCACTCGATCACTTTCCACCGGCGTAGGTCGTAGCGCCTCCCACATGGCGTGTTCATGTCCGATCGCTTTGCCGTCGATATCGAAGATGCATGCCATGGTTCCATGACAAGCAACAGCGCCAGGTCGCGCGCCGTTTCATCGTTCAGAAGGCTTCGCTGTGCCTCAAGGTTGAAGGACAACCCACCCACGAAGATCCGCGTCGAGATGGAGGAAGAATCTCCGAGCGACGCCATCTCGTTCAACCGAGAGGCACTGCAGTGTATCGAGGAGAGCGCCCCGGCTGTCTTGGGCGGCGACAATGGCACCAGCGCCAAAAAACCAAGACCTCGAGGGCCATCTTTGTGGAGGAGAGAAAGGGAAGGGAGGTTGCGCTTCGATAGTCAAGGTTTGCTTGCAATATCCCGGTATGCTGAAGCATGTCGCTCATCGTCTCGTTCAGTTCGCCACGGTAGGGCTCGTTCACGTTTGTACACCGCGGGCAGCCCCGATCAGTGACCCAACTCACCCTTGGCCCTCCACTCTCGCAACAGGTTCAAAAACGCCAGGGCGCCGCTACCGTAGCTGGCTTTTTCAGCCGCCGCGGGATTCGGCGTGCCTTCGTTATTGTAGTAGCCCGGGGTGCAACCGGCCAGGAACTAGGCGCGTGGCTTGGCCATGTCGAGGATGGTGTTGACCCAGTCCTCCTCGGCCTAGGCGGTAGGCTCGACGGTGCGGATGCCGGGCTTCTCGCATTCGGTAATCACGTAGGTAAGGTGCTCGGCCTGCTCGCCCTTGACGTGCAAGAAGTTGGGCGACAGCGCGGCCTGTACGATCTGCACCCAGAAGCAGTTGGGGAAGTCGCGCGTCGTCCAGCCGTGCAGCGTGCGCGACTCGTCCTTCCGGCACGACGTGATGGTCTTGTCGTCGCGGCCCGTGGCATGAGCATCGGTACATGCTGGGCATTTCTTCTCCGCAGATGGACAGGAGTCGGTACGGTGGTCCTGTGCACACTGGCCACAGGTCGTGGGGCGCCTATAACGGGACTGGTATAGTGTCCGTCATAGTTGTAGCTGTGGCATCGAATCGGTCGAGGCATCTGGTGAAATTCTTTGACAAACGCAATATGTCCTGCAATCTTGACTGTCCGCCGTTCCAGGGTCGTATGAGCCTCGATCGCGCGGACCAGGTAGACCACCATCGATTCCACCATGCGATCGGATCTCCTTTGGATAGCTAGAATGCCTTCTTGACCCCGGTGATTCCATTGACGGCGTAGAATGACTCTGCGAAATCATCTCGAATGGTGTCTCTGTCTTCTTGAACTACCGCAGATGTGACTAACATCGTCTGCCTTGATGGGATGCCAATCTTCACCCCTCGTACGCGCGCCCTCGAGAGCGCGATTGACCCATTGATCATGCGTAAGGAGGATGGGGGTTCGTGCGAGATCGAATCCGTTCGAGGCATCTTGAGTACGGAGGATTGCGGCGTCTTCCTCAGTGCGTGTGAGAACCCTCACATGGTGCCTTCAGATTTGGATACCAGTGACTGATTGCAATATCTGAGATTTCGGGTGTCGCTTGGGATTGTTTGCCGGATATTCCCTCCATGAATGAAGTACTCACTCACTGACCCAGTGAGCAAAGGAATTCATAGACCAGGGGGTTTTCCTGCCAACTACCCCGTCGTTTCTTGATTCTGGAACTTTGAAATTTCGGGGCAGTTGAGATAGGGCCAGTCTCGAGCTCAGCGGTGATCTCGAGTCCAATGAACCTGGAGCCTCCGACAACGTTGGCTCACAACGCACCCAGACCACACAGTGTTCATTGCCTCCATATCCGCGATCGAGACCGGCTGCTGGGCACCATGATTGGGATGGGACTGAAGATATCCGAAGACGGGAAAGCAAGCAAGAAAGAAAGGCCGTAACATGCATCCATGTGACAGTGTGATCTTCACTCCACTTGTCAGACGGGCCACCATACAGTACTCCCTATATGGGTGGGTATCTTGCTGTCAGGCGCTGCAACATCGCACTTCGAACCGAATGGAATGGCTGCAAGCACATTGAAGTACAGATAGGAGACAGACGACCAGGAACAAGACATATACTTCTGCAGATTCAAGAGTGCAGACTGTAATGTCGCCTCCGATGAGCGGGACCCATCCCGGCCACCAAAAATGGGCGGGTTTCTCCTATCTCCTGGCCAATCCTTTCCGGAGCAGTCGATATCAGCATCACAGTCATTATTCTGGTGTCAACTCCTCGGAGGTCCAACTGATCCTTCACATCTTGAGATCCTCAACACGTAAGGCCTCGGAGGTTTTCAAAATTTGCGTCTTGATTTCGCAAGGCCGATGCTTAAGCCGAAGAAGAGCGATGCGGAACTTGTATCGGTCCTTGTAGGGAGGCGGCTAGATGTAGACATGTTAAATACAAGAGTGCGCCATCGCGGCCCAAGAGATCGGCGTTTGTCGTGCGTAGGCATCATCTGCCGGCCAGGAGAAACACCTGCGCACCATAGCCGCTGCGAATGCATTGCACCGGTAGAACTTCCCACTGGATGGCGGTCCCTGCATCGACTGTAGAAGATGGCCATGGTGGTCCCAACAAAAACACAACTACCAGACGGAAAACCAACCGTGCTTGCACCAAATCGTATGTGTTCGGCCTCGCCCACGACGCCTTGGTCAACCGCCCGTTGAGCCTCGTATTGACAATGACTTTCAGTTTTCTGACGACCAAGAGGCGAGGAGCGAAAGGTGTCACTCGGAAACGCCGGACCCAAAAGTGTAAAGTGAGGATCAGTGCTCGCAAGAGCAAAACGAGATTTGTCGTGATGGTCTTGGGCGACATTGTGCTGGTTGCGGCGGACCCTGTTCAAAAAGAATGGCCAGCTGAATCTTTTCCAAGTTGCTTGTACGCCAAACATCAAGTCAAGCCGGGGACGTTCTGGTCGCTCGGCTGCTCCATCTCGGCGGCACCTGTCAATTTGTTCCTATCTCTTACTCGCCGCGTGTCCACTGTCACTCCAAGGATGGGGAGAGGAGGGGGGGGGGGGGGGGGGGGGATCGAATCCGCTCGATGCATGCATGTTGTTGGCTTGCTGACGGCGACCGGATTGGCTGAGTTTACTAGCACCGGATGCGTATGTTCGTGATGAGGAGTTGTCCGCAGCTCGAGGCTGATGACGGTGTCGAGTTCTTTCTGCATTACTGTCTCCTGCTGCGCAAGGGAGCTGGCTGGCGGTCTTCGTCACGGTTGCTCATTGTTCCGTCACCTCGCTCGCCGAGCTGAGTCGTGATCGATGCGAGTCTCCCCCATCAAGTCTTTGGCGAATACCCTGAGATCCGCCATCTCCTTTTGTAGCTGATCATTGTTCAGTCTTGTTCGTTCGTCTTGAGTAGGTGGTTATTGGTGCGCAGCTCGTCGATGATTCGATCCGTGGCGCCATGATTGCTTCTCACTTCCTCGAGCCCGTTGAGATTGGTGGTCGATGGTCGAGATCTGATCGTTTCCCAGTGTGCGCAGTTGGCGGCTCGTGCTGTTCGATGTTGCTGTCGCTGACGCCGTTGCTTTCGTGGTCGTCGGGACAGATTTTCCTTGCACGCGATTCGGCCGTGGCGCGGCTGGGGTGGCAGGCTCCACGAGTATCACGGTGAAGCCTTGAACAGGAGAAATCGCTGTCAAAGGTTGAATGATGATATGAATTCTGAGACGAAGTGAGATCTAACTAGTGTAACTACATGGGCGTGAAAAATATGTGCGCACTCAGCCTCGTGAGGGGTATCCAGCCTCGTGCGGGGTAGCTCACACGAGGCTGAGCGCGCAGGCCGTGATGACGGCAACGACATGGCCATGGCCATCCGACGTGCTTTCGACGCGTTCTTCGTCTTTTTCGACCGCTGTCAGTCTTATCTTTGTGTTCCGGAGGGATTTACGCGTCGCTACGCGATCAATGTCTTCCATCGGCTTCACCTTTAGATATCCCTTCACCTTTGAAGATAGTTCAAGACCTCCGTCTGCCCGTGATCGCATCCTGCAGCACCAACACTTCCTCTACCTCTACAGCAACATTGTCGACCGCGAGGCAAACCAAAGCCTCAGGCACTACGACCCTCTCACCCGCCGAGAAGCCCAGGCCTGTTCTGGCTCAATTGCGTAAGGGACACTCGAGACTGCGAGGCTTTCTGCCGTGAGGCTTCGAAGAAAGCCCGGCATGTGATCCACTCGTTCGCCGCTTCCTCCTCCATTGTCCGTGTTTTGAAGATCGAGGGTCGAAAATGATAGAAGAAGCGTAAAACCGGGATGAAGAGAGAGAAGAGAGAGAGGCAGAGAGGAGAGAAAGAGAAGAGAGACAGAGAAGACAGAGAAGAGAGAGAGAGAAAAAAGAGAGAAGAGAGAGAGAGCAGCGTCCTCTTTGCGAGCACATGTCACGCTAAACGCAGATAGATACAGCTGGGACGTCCGGACGAGACGAGACGCCTTTGACTGTATCTCAGATGGCTGTTATATTGTGCAGTAACCAACATCCCTATGGCTCGATCCCCGGTCTAAATTTCCGCGGTGGTGTAATATCAACAAGTCACTGAACAGCTGGGTAAAAGTCGAGCTCTGAAGCGTAGCTGTATAGTATCCAGTCCCCCGCAACAAGCTTCTCCCCAAGAGGCACACATACATGGGCTCTGATACGGGGCAGTAGTCGTTCGGTATAGTAGTTGCGCGTGGGTTACCGTGGTTCCAGGCGTTGGCAATAGTGGTGTTATAGGCCTGCGTAGTTGTATTTGATCTGGCCGATAGAAGATGTAAAGGCGTTAGCATCTGGAGGAATGAAATGCCCTCGAGTCCCTTGGGAACGTACCTTGTACTTCTTCAAGGGAGACTGACCGCGTTTGAGAGACTCTCCATCGGTCTTTGAATCTATCGGTAGTAGCCTGCCGGCTTCAGGACGACAGTCCAGGAGCTGGATAGAATGACTGCTAATCGAGAGATGTAGATCAAGGAGGAGATGACGCACTTCCTGGAGGCGGTTCATGGTCTTTGAGACGAAGGATGTCAACGGCCTGTGGGTGGCAAGATGATGAAGCAATTGAGTGGCGATCTGTCGATACGACTCTGATTACCGTTCTGCTTGGGTAGTGTATTGGGCAATGTAATTGAGAACAGCAATAGCACCGGTATAGGATGTCTTCATCGTCGTCGTCGTCCTCATGCTCTCGGTCCTGCTCTCGGTCCAGCTCCCGGTTTCGCTGGTCCTCTTGTTTCTTTTCATGTCCCTGCTTCTGCTTCTGCTTCCGCTGTCGCTGCCCTGGGTGCCTCGGACCGGGCGAGCTTTAATGATAACGTGGACACGGGCAGTGAGCATTTCTCCGATTTGAGAGAGTACTGCAAGGCCAGGATGGCCGAGCCCAGGATCGATGTTGCTCTTAGTACTGTAGAGGAAAGGCTGGTCATCACGGAGGTCCTTATCGACGCGGTGGCAACGGGGTGCAGACGTTGTCCGGATCAAGGAGAGGGGCAGGACGTTGAAGGTTTGCCACCTGAGAAGAAGCACAACATTAAGCTCCGCTGAGTCGCGAGGCTGGTCGAGGACCTTGAGAACTGTCTGGGGCTTTGAAAACGGTCGACTGAAGGATCTCGAGGTCTCACTGTAGAAGGCGTCAAAGGACCTTGGGCTGAAGGACTTTGGAGACTGCCTCCGCGGGCTTGCCTTGATTGATCAAGAGAAGGTGTCGGAGAAGGCTGTCCGCCACCACGACGTTGGGCTCGATGATCTCGTCGAATCTGAGTCTGTTAACGACGTGCAACGGGCTGTTTCCTCGCCGGAATCTCGACGCCCGTCTGCCTCCTGCTCCTCGTGACCTTCGCGCCGCTTTTAGTCAGGCTGCCTCTTGTCTGCCTGAAGGTCAAAGGTGGAGTCTTATTTATTCTCGCCCAGGCTGACATTTGTTTTTATCTTCTTAGGTTCCTAGTCTCGACAGGCTTCGGTTATGGGAGTTTGACAGGAGATCCCGTCTGTTGGACGACGTGAAGGTTGGCTGGAGGGCGTCAAGGTTAACTGGAGGACGTCAAGGTTGGCTGGAGGACGTGAAAGTCAGTTGGAATGTAGACAAAGAGTGGCTGGTAGACGCCGTACACTTACCATATACCACAGGGGTCGCCCAAGAAGACAACGGGTTTGCCAACGCGTTTGCTGCGCATCTGCGCATCGGCGCTGGTCTTGGTCGTTCCCAACCCACCATGCGATGGTAAACGTCATCGTCACCGCCTGTGGCACCTAAGGAAGAGGAATCTCAGCTTCGCAACGTTTTATAACCCGCCTCTTGCGTAAATCAACCCCAGGTAGGAAGGTCAGGCGAACCCAACACTGAACTCGCGAAGGTAACGAGAAAGATGAATTTAGAGAGGAGTCATTGTGTTTCTCAGACCAGCGGAGAGAGGCTTGCATGGGTGGCTTAACGAGAGTGCGGCGGGTATGTGAGAGAGCGTGGTTTGATGTCTGCCTCGAGGATTGCAGTACTTGGCCCTTTTTTTTTCCGTGAAACGATATATGGCGTGTTACTTCCGTCAGAAGTGCCGTTATCCTTGCCCCGTCGTCTTCAAAACACACATGATTGGCAGTCTCTTCGGACGCTCTGGATATCCCTTCAGGCCTTCTTTGACCTCAAGGCCGGGCTGCAGAAACTGCACGCAGGTTCGGGGGTATACGGGCTGGGATTGGACGCATGAAACGTGGAGTTCGCTGTGCTGGTCCATGAGATGGCGAGGTCGCGGCTCGCGTACTCGTTGTCGAACGACCGCGGTAAGTAGCGCAGGTGGCCACAATCCTGTCTGCGCGAGCAGTGCGGATCGGCAGGAGCTGGAGTAAGTCCTGGAATTTTCAGGGTCGTTGAAAGGGTCTCATGGCCGGTCCGCCATTATACCCCTCGTCAAGGTCCAGTGGATGGCAGGAAATCCCTCTGGGTACTCTCGGATCGCTCACCGTCATCGTCTGCCTCGGGTGAGGACGTCTTCTTACTGCCATTGGTACCACATCGGCACCCTCCCTGGACTCCGCAGACGACCGTGCGGCTTTCAGGATCCTCTCGTAGCGAATTTGACTAGTTTTGTACCAAGATGACTTCGTTTGGCGAGTATTGGGTCGGTCGTGGCCTGTTAATACAGAGAATGCTTCAGCGTCACGGCTGAACAATGGGTCGATGTGTCCTATACTGGACTGACAGTCGTGTAGTCGGGATTTTCCTGTCTGAATTTCGCCGCGGTTGTCTTTTTGACAGATCGGCACTGGGAATGAGTAAAAGATGGGCCGTATCGATCGTGCGTAAAGTGGCATTCTCACGGGCTGGCCAAGCCATCCCAAGCCCAAAGTGCGTGGTCATGACGGGGGGTTCGGGTCGTAGTCTATCTCCTGCTCCGCCATGGCAGATTTGATTGAAGAGAACGGAGAGGAAGAGGAACTGGGCAGACTCGAGTTCCGGGCATTCTTCGGTCTTGTCGAAAGCAGGCCGAAGCCATCTTGGAAGAGGCACTCCGAGACTTGCTTGACGCTGCTGCTCGAGGGTATCAAGATGCTTCTCCAATATAAAACGATGATGAAGCCACCAATCTTCAGCGTGGGGAATGTCGTTGGCGGAGTGGATTGAGTGATCATGATCGAGCATGTGATAAAGGACAGCTGGGCCGTCGAGCGAAGCTTTATCAGCTCGAGGTTCGCCCAGTTACCCAAAAAGATCCTTGCAGTGTAGCTCTCTCAGTAGCGGATATGCTTCTCGGTGTACGCCCCCGGCGATCGTACATGTCCTCTCGATGCTAGGAACCGCCTGGGTGGTCAAAGTCATCGGTCGATACCAGAAGCAATGGCTGAAAGCAGTCCAGACTCGTGTTTCGTTGACGTCGGGCCTTGCTGCATTCTATAATGCGAGCAACGTTTTTCTGTCGGTCTCGTTCCCCTTGTTGAAGAGTCAGCCGCGCCGCTCGACATTTGCGCCCTATAGGCCGGTGGTGATGGCGTTGACTTGGGTTTCGTTGGGCTTGCTCGAACCAGATGATGGCGCCGGCCATGTCGGTGCAGTTGATGACCCCCCTCTCCTACCAGGCACATCGTCTCGCTCGGTCCGAGGCTTCACCCGTCAATGGTGTCAGGGACAAGACCCCGGAATGCCTCTGCGGCAAGAGATATTGACCGGTGGTGATTGGTCTTGAAGTAATCACGCAGAGAGACGTCAACAGGACGAAAATGTGCTCATTTCTCTATGCAGTGTAATCCCGAATGTAACTGACAGGGGTATCCTCACCTCTTCCTCTGGCATTAACCTGGAGCGGATGTGAATAGTTCCAGGGATTTTAGTCAGAGCATTGCTGTAGAGAGTTCTGGAAGAACCACAAAGAGGCGTCGTCTGAAGCCCTTCTCGCGGTGACATATTGAAGGCGAGTCTATCCGTTCAGGAGGCTTCTCCACCGTGATTCCTATGCTTCGAGAATCTGAACCCTGAGAGGACAAATACACCACCGTTTGCGACCCGAGCTCCCCGGCGACCAGAAAGGACAGGAATCGTTTGCCAGGATCGCAGGTCGCGATGCAAGGGGGCACATCTGGTTGGCTCCCGAGCTGTTTGGACGGAGAAACGTATTTGCTTCGTTGGTGCATGGACGGTAAGTAACGACAAGATCATTCGAATATTCTCCATGATCCTTCCGACGCGGTGAGATTCTGGGCTTCCGGCATGGATACCTAGATGACCAGGAATCCAACAAAAAATGCCCGATAGATTCGATCTCGGCTGGCGTCAAGATCTTAACCACTTGTTCGGACCGAATTTGATTTCTCTGGGCCTTTCCAACATGTAACACCACAGGTGATTCGCCGACCCGGCCGGGTGTGCGCGACTCGATATGCAGGCCGCTGGGCCAGTCGACGAGGATATGGTGCCACCTTTCCAGCTTCTCTGTCGTCTCACAAACCCAGGACCCACGTCAACACTCCTCTTGAGTCATGCAGGGGCTCCTGCAGATTGCAGAGAAATCTGTTGACGCCGGTGATGAAGCTGACCCCATCGTGGCTCTGATGGACTTGACAAATGTCTGTGGTAAGACAGAACCAAGCAAGGACTGAAGAGAAAGGACTCGCGAGCTCCCAGACCTTGAGAAGGCGGCGATCAATGCCGACCGTTGCTCCAAAAACACTACGCGACACATCCGTTGGGCCCGCATGACTGCCATCCTCCATGGTATTGATCCTCTTTTGGAGGACAACCTCGCAGACGCTCGTGCCAAAGTTGACTGGCGGGTTTGCTCCACAGGGGTTGCTGGACAAGGGAACCGCTCTGGCTTTCATTGGCAACAATGCTGCAGTTTTTGCAACGTGCACAGGAGCCGACACTAGTCAAGGTCGGTATCAAGCCATGAGCCCGTCACCGCGGCGATTCAGCCATCTCCCTCCGAGCATATATGCCTTCTCTCCTCCTCTCTCTCCTCTCTTCCTTCTCTCTCCTTATCTGCATCAACTGTCGAAGGTCAACGGATCGAGCATGAACCAATTGAATGCTGTGCAGCCGTTAAGCTGGTCTCCGACGTCCTCGACGTCCTTCGCTCCAAAGCGAGTGAGCGCAGGTAATTAATGTCGACGCCATCCATGCGAAGGGGGAGTAAGATAGTGAGGCTGTCATGTGTAGTGAGAGATGAGAAGGGCCAGGACACTGCTTGTCCATGTATGTCCGGATACACTTGGATGAGTGCTCCAATTTGATAGCTCACGGCACCGTCTGGAGCATTGTTTATACCGTGTCAGAACGTAAGCAGGCAGGCTGTGAACTAACCTTTCTGCAGCTCTCGTGCGGTCGGCCCGAGCCTTCGGCAGCACGAATGGTCTTCTCAATGGTGGTCCAGCCAGAGACCTCCAGACCAAGGTGACCGTCGGTATCTGCCAGATGCTCGATCGAAGAAGGAAGGACGTCCCTTATTGCGAGGATCTTGCGTGAGTCGGACTGAATACGCCCGCCCCGGGAGGTGTCGACGTCGCTTGTTTCGAAGATAAGACGGGGGACGTACGTAGGGTAGACCCAGCCATTCCGTCGAGGTTTTTGGCCGCTTTTGCTGTAGGGTCGGGGAACTTCCTCCTCATGGGCGACGTGCTTGTCCTCGTCCTCGTTCTTGTGGGAGTTACTGTCGGAGCCACTTCGCTTATAGTCAGATTAGGGTCTTGATGGACTTTTGCGTGTAAGCTGATCAAGTCGACCGAGATAGATGGCGATCAAAGAACGCCGCCGCAACCGCCACGTCAAGGCTCGGGCACGAGTGTCTGTGCCTAGGGTGACGAGATGGTCCATTGGAGTGAAGCTGTAGCTTGGAGCCTGGCCAGGGGTCGATATACCCAATGACACGGTCTGCCCTGGGCTGTCTGGGTTTCGAAAGGCTTGTTCGGCTGCCAGTATGTGAGTATGATCGCCCCCGGTTGGTGTAACTGAGTTGTGCAGGTCGCTCGTGGTTCTCGGGGCTTTTCTGGGCTCCTCGTTGCCTGTCTCTCGCTGACTAGGCGACTAGACGACAAGAGAATGATACGGAACCGTCCTTTGATATCAACACAGAGAAACGCACAGTCGTAACGTGAAGATTGTACTTTACTTCCCTACCCCTTCCTTCTCTTACCCTTGCAGACTGACTGATCTCGACGTCAGTCTTTTTGTCGCTACCGCACAGCCAATCCCCAGGTCCAAGTGGGTGTAAGACGGTATGCTTCGCCCTTCGATCGTTGTAGGACGGGACGGGATGGGATACCATCAGCCGCTCAGGTCAGCTTTTCTGCCGCTCAGGTCAGCTTTTCTGTGAGAGAAGCCGCGTTGGCAATGCGGGCGGATATAAAAGCAGAGGAGGGTGGAAAGGTAGATGGACAGACTAGACTGCAAGAGAACGAGAAGACGACAACAGAACGAGTTGCATCAAGGCTCCGCGTTGTCCGTCAAGGTTCTGACGAAGGCCTGGTTTGGTGCCAACAAGACTCCACCGCGTCCGCAACCGCCCGCAACAACAGCTCACAGATATCCTTGTGACCCGACAGAGCGGACGAAATACAAGGGCTTTAGAATACCACTTTAGAGCGCGGCGGTCTTTCGGCGTTGAGAACAGTAGTAGTCAAGCCGCCGCCCGTGTCAACAACAGACCTCGCGAGGGTCAGGTCTCGATATTCAACGTGCTCAAAAGCCCAAGTGATCATGGTGGCCGTGTCCCAGACAAAGGTCAATATTGGAGTCGACGGGAAACGGTCTTCTTTTGCTTCCTCCATCCGGCCGGCTCAGCTTTGACGGTTGGCTTCTCTGGTAACACTAGCTGACACTCGGTCGGATGCTGAGTCGCTATCTGAGTCGTCTGAGATAACTTCTTGCCGTCTCGTTCTCTTGTCGTCATGGCTCCTAGTACTGCCTATGACGTCGTCTCCAGCGCAAAGGCTTTTTGATATCTTACTTCTACCTTCTCGGTATCTTCCATCTCTGTCATTCTTGTCCTCCTTCCAATCTTTGATCTGAATCATTTTGGCTTTTCTCTCCTCTTGGTTTCCTTCTGTCCTTGGTGTTTCGGCAGAAGATCTGGTACCGTGGAAGCTCGGCCTGACTTCGTACACCCACGATCGTCAACTGCCGTGGACCACCATGATAGCCCAGCCGCCCCAGACAAGGATGTCATCGACGAGACGACCGGGGGACGGGGCGGCAGGGAGGCGGCGGGGCGGTATGGGAAGGCAAGACGCCAGACGACCAGACGACCAGACGAGGAGACGAGGAGACAGCAAGTCGACAAGACGACAGGTCTGTCCGATGCGTCGTGTATTCGGTATGAGCTAAGGGGACCTCCGTCTGTATCTGATATGGAGCGTGTGTAATACATATCCAAGGGAGCCAGCTCCCTGATAAGCGGGTGAACAGTGTTTCTGACCGACTTCTGCCCTCGCGTCGTGCTTCACTCTCAACCGGGGACTTCTTCTTCCAACAGCTGCGCACAAATTCGAGTCAAAGCCTTTTTGTCTTGGGAAATCCCCATGCCCTGCCAGGGCTCTTCATTTGAAGAGCAATGTAGAAGACGAGCACGTATCCGAGTGTAGGTATATCGTACAATCCAAGCCTCGCCAACACGGCTGGCTACTGCTCCGGCATAATCGGCCATGAGCTGGTCTTGGGACACCATGCCATCCCACTAGGACTATTCGTGGTTGTCCCAATCACCCTCTGCAGTTGTAACGCATAGTCTGTAGAGCGGGCTTTGCGATGAAGTCCGAAACCGGCTTTGGGGAGTGTCGAAGGGGAGCGGGCTCGAGCGGAGGGAGGGGGACTGGTTGGTTGTTCAGCCTGCTTCGAAGACCATATGGCTGTGAGGATATGGTTCACATTGCGGGTCATATGTCGTTTCAAGACTCTCGGAGAGGGAAAGCATCGGCATCCGGTGTCAACGGCGAACGGGCAAAGTAGAGACGACAGATGCCCGGCCGCGATCGTCATTTGATCGCGAATGTGTCGCAGCCCATCTTATCAGTGCCTGGTCGGGTGCTCGGGCGATTAACGATTGACGTCTTCACTTTCAACGGACCTCAAGGATCGGCAGCCGACATGGTGGCTTGTCGTCATGGGACTGAGTCGACTGGCGCCGGCAAGTCGAGGTTCATTACTGAGGCCTCGGGGACTCAGTGTCGATATTGGCGACTCTCTCCGACAGGTCGACAAAGTGATGTTAAAGGCTTCTCATGGATTCGCTCATCCGCAGCGTTCAAGGGAGTGACACTCTTCGACAGGCTGGAAAGGGACATATCCATGGATGGACAGCCGAGATTGAACCACTTAATCATGACCGGGATCGGGGATCGTTGGATATTGGGCTCTGACAGTGCTCCCAGAAGCGCAGAGAGAGCGATCCAACTGCCTCCGGTATCCATCGCCCGTGTATTCAATCGACTTGTCCATATAGATCTCTCTTTCTCTTGTCTCCGTTCCCACGCAGCCTCGAAGCGTGACTGACTTTGCGTGTGGCGTCGACGCTGTATTTATGACCGTTGTGGGTGAATTCACCGTCAGCATCGTAGCATTCGTCTTGCCAGATCCGGTCGGAGCACGTATTGACATGTTTTCGTCGTCGTTGGAAGCAGATGGGAAGCACTTTGGCTGGAACCACCGTAGGTCGTCGATGCTTCTTGGTGCCGACCGTCATGAAGAAGAAGAAGACGCGAGGAGACGAGAGAAGACGAAATGGACGAGGTTTACAAGCCGAGCCGAGCCGAAGAGGAGAGAGAGGGAGAGAGAGAGAGATGGGCGTATCGATGGATAACCACCTCCACCACCACCGGAGGAGTACTCGTCGCGGTACTGCTCCTGGCGGCGGAAGCCGGAGCCATACCAGTACTGGTTATTGTCATCGTTGTGCCCGCAATGCTGGGGCTCTTCGTGGCGTCTGGCAACGTCCGGGTCCCCGGCGGCGTGGGCGACTGCGGCCTATTCGACTAGCTCATGTCAAGACGGGATATTGGATCTCGCCCGGTCGGTCATAAGAGCCTTGATCGCGATGGTTGAAGCCGAGGAGAGAGATGATGTCGCCGGGGCGTTGTGAGTGCGTCACTGACAACATTAGAAGACGACAGGATGACAGGATGACAGGACGACCAGACGGCGAGGCGACCAGACGACAAGACGCCAGATGGATCGACGTACCGAATATCTCAAGTCGCGACAGGAGGAGCTCAGATCCTTGACCTCATGGACGAAATGTTCTTCCACGTCAACAACGGAGAGCTGCATCTAGCCCAGCGATTCTGCTTCTCAGCGATTGTCTGAAAGGCGCAAATGATAAAGGAGCCTAGCCTTCGCGGCATGAGTAAGCAGAGCAGCACATCAGGGAGAATGCGGCGCGATCTCTCCGACTCGGAAGACGGCATGGATGGCGGCGAAATGGAGTGCCTGAGTTGTAACAATAACAAATGCAAACGATTGAGCTCGAAGTCATAGGAGTAGAGTACTTGCGGCGCGTGGAAAGGAACTGATGAGCTTGGGATTTCATTCCTTATTAGCAAGGGCTCTATAGTATGTATCGTCTATCAGCGACGGCGGGGCTTTCTTTGGCACAGGAACTTGGGCCATTGCCCGCCATGGGTGACACGTATCCGCAGGCAGAGATTATCAGCGTCGACATCGGTGCTTCAAGTCCTGAATGTGTGCCACCCAACATGAGATTCGAGATCGCAGACCTTGAGGGCCCTGAGCAGTCCCAGGCCTGTCACTTCCACCGCTGTTGCCGCGGTTTCTGTTCCCAATTTCAAATTGCATGATGGACGCGTTGATGCTGTCCAGACTCAGCCGCGAGAAGGTCGACCTCAGCACTTCGTAGCGTGGCAGTACGATAGTGTCCCGGTAGCTGATGAGCAGGATCCGTCTGACCTCCAGCTCATTTTGATAACATCCACTGCAGGTACGTGGCAGGGCCATCGGAAATTGGCCGCAGCTCGTGCGTCGGACATTCGAGTGAGTGCCTGGTCGCTGTCAACTCTCGGGGCTCTGGGGTCTCTCCATGGCCCAGACAACCAGACGACCACATGACAAGAGAATGAGACCACAAGGCCGCAAGACCACAAGACCACAAGACGACGAGACCGCGAGATGACAGGACAAGGAGGTGACAAGAAGATAAGAAGAACAAGACCACAAGACCACAAGATGACGGGAAGAGAACATGACAAGAAGACGAGGCCACAAGACGACAAGAACATAATACCAGCATCCGCCCCCTTTCGAAATGTTGCCCCCCAGAAGACAAGACCACCAGAAGGCAAGACGGCAACGTGGCAAGAGTATAAGAATACAATGCCAGCACCCTTCATTGAACCCCCTTTCGAAATTCGGCCCCCCTTCGCTCGATGAAAGTAACCTATGTCATAGACTACTCGTCAATAGCCCGACAGACAGACAGACAGACAGATAGAGAGACGGAGGAGAGAGGGAGACGGACAGCTGGACTACCATATCCCGAACGATGATCGTCACCCGGTTCTCGCAACCCACGGATGTCCCATAGTCGCTCCTTGATGTCCGACGTAGGCGTCAAAGGCTGCTTGAAAAACTGAGGTCTGCAGCCTGTCAGACACTGGCCAAGGGTATCGACAGAGGAAAACAGCACTGCAGAGCCCTTATCATGGTCGATTTCACAGCGTCAAAGACAGGACGGCGTGACAGTAGAGAGCGAGAGCTGAGAGCGAGAGCTGAGAGCTGAGAGTGAGAGCTGAGAGCTGAGAGTAGCGAGTAAAGAGTAGAGTATTTGCCAAACATGGATCGTGGATCGGAGTGGTGCAAGTAATAGTCCGTGGTGAGATCCCAAAGCAGGGCTGGCCTTGGGAGAAGAAGACATAGTTTCCAAGGAAACAGGTTGTACGCTTCCTGCCTCTGCGCGTCCATGAACGAGTTGTTGTAGTAGTACCGCTTGAAACTCTCGACCATGTCGCACGCGGATGGCTTGTCCACTGGGGTAGAGAGTAGAGAGCAGAAAAAGGATAGAACGTATCCATCCGCTCACGTTATTTCCCTTGTGGAAGGGTATAAGACTCAGAGATTGATTCTGGTCATACCATTTACCGTGCACAAGTCCTGGCTCAAGGCGCCAACTCAACGGCCTCTGCGCCACCGAGTCCTTGGTTGATGGAAATAAGGGGGGGCTGCCCTGGAGCTTTATTGTTTCGCACGGCGCCAACTCGAGTGCCATCGAGTCCTTGGTGATAGAAATAGGGGGTGCCCTTGGAGCTTTATCACTGCGCAGGACGCCGACTCAATGCTCTTCGTGCCACCGAGTCCTTGGTGATGGAAACAGCGGGAGTTCTCTTGGAGCTTTATCATTTGGCACGACGGCCGAGCCCCCCCCGTCTTGCCGAAGGTAGGCTCGCCCCCCAAGTTCTGACAGTGTGTCCTGTCGATGCTCGAGGATAGAATCTCACGCGTGGAAGTGAGAAAAGAAAGAGTAAAGGACAGAAGAAAGGTCGGTCTTTAAATGAGTTCTGACAGTGTGTCCTGTCGATGTTCTAGACAAAGGAAGAGGAAACCGAGCCGGATACCGGCAGGTAGATCGATGGCCAATACGAGGGCGATAGACACCCGGCGGAGACACCCGGCGGACAACGAAGTTAACGGTCAGCGTATCTATTGACGCTGGCGGATGCGGAGTACATTGACTAGTGTAATGTAACAAAAGAGGCCGTTGGCCGTTGACCGAGTACTTGAGGTAGTTCCAGCGTGAACCCGGACGCGAACAGGGTGCAGCAACGAGACGAGGATCCCCAGGGGGATAACCAGGCGGCGCTGGCGTGCACCACACGTGCCCATTGTGCTCGAATGCGGCGTTGTGGAGCTGCTGTGCCGACCAGAGGGTAGACAAGTACTTGAGGAAGCTGAACGATGGAGGAAGCTGAACGATGGTATGACGGCAGGTTATATATAGCAGGACTAGCCACGCCAAATCCCAGTACCATTAGACCAGGGAAACAGGTGGAAGACTCAGGTGGCCTTCTCATTCTTTCCAACGGCTGAACTGGCTGCGTAGCCACGCGGGACATGCCATGGTGTGTGACGATTCGCTCCAGGACACATGGCTTGCGCCAGAGATATATTCCGGGAAAGGGACGCTCCGTGCTCTTGAATAGAGGCTAGCCAGCCTGACTCTCCTTGTATATCTCCGTAGTATTGGCTTTCTCTTGTAACAGACCACCGACGACGTCTGCGGACGATTGCCCAATATCTCTTCCGCCACCACAATATCCGTAGTGAGTCATTTTGTACCTGCAGTAGCCCATCGACGTGGTCGTTCGGGTGTTGTCGATGCTGCGGCAAATCTTGAAGCAGTGGGAGACAGCTCCCTTCGTAGGAAGAATGGACGAAGGACTCGGGGCTAGGACTGGACCGATGACATAGGAAGGTAAGCGCCGTTGGATCCTGTTCAGGCCAGCAAGTTCCAAGTTCAGAGAGATGATCGGGATGCGAGATGATCGGGATGAGAAATGATCGGGATGAGAGATGATCGAGATAACATACGTTGGAACGAGTCACCGTCGGAGAGAATCAGTGATCGCTTGCTTCCTCCATGCCGGTCCTTCAGGCCGACTGACTGCGTCAATCCAGCTACCCCGGCCATAAATCCATGTGGAAGCGGCAGCAGCGTTGCGAGGCGGCGACAGAATCAAGTCATCACATTCGCATCATGTTCGGATTCTTGTCGTTATTCCCCCCGGTTCGGAAGGGCAGAGGATGTTTGGGTGAGAAGAGCTTCTTCGTTCGCTCCGGCTAGGGCAGTGGTGACAGCACAGATGAAGGACGCAGAGTGAGCAGTCCTGGTGACCCCCTTTAACCAGAAAGCAACAAGCGTCAAGCGTCTCCAGCGAGAGGGAAGGAGAGGCTTGTTCCCGGGCACATTGAAACCCCGTCCGGGGCATGAGGCTGGATGGATACACCTGGATTCGCCGCTTCGAGGACGCTTTGTGTTATTGAAAGGGATAGCGTAGTGACTGCTTCAAGGACGCTCCGTACTGTTGAAAGGAATAGCGTGATGGCTGCTTCGAGGACTCTCTGTACTGCTGAGAGGGTTGGCGTGATGACCTCTACTTCGAGGGACGTTTTTGTATTGTTGAAAGGGATAGGGTGACGACTGCTTTGACGCCCTATACTGTTGAAAGGGGTAGATCGATGACCTCCGCTTCAAAGACGCTTTGTACTGTTCGAAGGGGTACCGACCGAGTCAGATCCGTCATGTCACGCCTGCAGCGTCGCCACCACTTCTTCCACAATCCACACCTTCGTCAAGACACTCAGTCTCTATCCCAGTTCGTCTATCCTCCGCGAGATATCGTGCCTGACTTGAATGATGAGGATGAAACATGGGGAACCACCTGTTTCCAATGACCGAGAATGGATATAGACTGCAGATGAAGCCACGAGCCTTTTGTCCTGCTCCCTCGAAGCCACTCGAGGTGTCGAGGTCTTCTGTCAAGAGTAGAAGGCGAGAGAAAAGGAAATTAATAGAGGTTGAGGCAGGATATGAGAACGAGAAAGCGGACAAAGGGTTCCCTGTGAGTGGATATCTGATCCAGGAGGGAGGCTTTGGACTGTTGAAAGGGGTGGCGTGATGACCTCTGCTTCGACCAAGCCCCCGAGCCAGCCACACTGTAGGTAAGCTATGGCCCGTCACAGCCAGCCAGCTAGCCCACGTCCTCCCTGTACGCTGTATCCTGGACTCGCTACCGGTCAAGGAAAAGTGGCTTCAGCCCAAACACCACCGCCTGTCTCTCTCCCCCATCACCCCAAAGCAGGGAGAAGAGCGGCCATGATTATCAAGTAGTGTCCACCGTCTGATTGTCCGTTGTCCGTTGTCCCAGTGGCCACCTGAACCGTGGAATCCGTCACGGTTCTGTAGTTTTGTATAGTTCTTTCGACGCTTTCAAACGTGGCTCTTGCGACTGCGGGAGGCTTGATCTCTTTCGGCCAGTTGAGGCGAATCCCAGCCGTGATGCTTTGCTTTGTTGGTATATGTTGAAGCAGTGGCCACCGCAACGGGACCATCGAAGGCCGCGAACTCTGCATCACCTTGCTGGATGCGAACGACCCTCCGAGCCCTGGTCCGCAACGACCTCGACATGACATTCCGCACCGAAGACCACGTCACGCTGCCACACATCCACTTGGTTGGTATTGCCATGGGCAACGAGCGCTGCACCTGAATGTGAAATCCGCCAGGGGGTCTGTAGTTCTGCAGTCTCTTTCGACGCCTTCCAACTTGGGGACTGCGCTCATGAATTGGCGGGTTGGTTTGTGTCTTTTGTTGCCAGACACGTCTTGAGAATATGGGGAAAAGGTGGCCATGCTGTTGATCAGGATGGAGAGGTAGACGATGGAGAGGTAGACGATGGAGAGGTAGACGAT